ATTTTTAACTTTAATAGCTCACATAAAAATATTTCTAAGATCATTAGGTGTTATACTAATGATGTAAAAATGCATCAATAATCATTAATAGTTATCTTTAAAGAGGTGAATTTATTATATTTAATCTTATTAAGCTAAAAGATGATCTCTTTGCAATTTGCCTAAGGTTTAAATTTCACTAAACCTGAAGAAGAAAATAGAGGCAAGGCAAAAACTTAAAGAAAAAAAATGTCCTAACTAATGAGTAGAATTTAACTCTATAGATACTAACTTTTATTCGTAATTATAAAAAATCAAATGGAAGAACTGGTTATTTATATCATTCTCAGAAAATATGTGATCTTGATTAGGATTTTACTTTGCAAAAATTTTATTATAGACCTGAGGGATATTATCAAACTGCTGAAAAAATGCAAACTGCTTATAAGAAAGCCAGATATAAGTTTACTTTGGCTATTATAAAAAATTGGCTTAACAAATAGGCTTTGCATCAGATTCATAAGCATTGGCCAGAATTTATTCCACAAGCATTTTTTAGTAATATTATCATACTTATGAAAGTTATTCAAGCTGATTTACAATATGCTATATGCCTTATGATCAAATCGGAAATAAACTTATAAATTTATACTTAATTGTGTAAATATTACTACCTGCACTAAATGGACCTATCCTTTAACTAAACGTGATTCTGCTAGTATGGCTAAAGGATTTATGAAACTTTTTAACTCCTGAATATGTCCAATTATCTGATCTAAAGTTAAAGTTTTAATGTTAGATAGGGGCATAAAATTCCAAGATAATGTTATTATATTAATGAACGAACATAGTATTTAAATTCAACTAGCTAATTCTAAAAAATCTATGGGTATTGTTGAGAGATTTCATCGTATACTTCGAGAAAGACATTCTTTATTCAAGATACTGTTAAAATGAGATTATCTCATACTAAACACTATTGAGTTTGGGTAAAAACCTTCTAATTTTTCTTGTAGAGCTTAATAATTCTGTAACTTGACTTCTAGGGTATTTCTCCTGCTGAAGTTCAAAAAAAAGAACATGTCTTTGCTAAAGCTTCCAAGCCACAAAAAGGATCTATTAAATTTGATAAGTCTAGATTATCCCATAATATCTTAGTAAGATATTTGCTTAATCCTAATGAATTAAAAGAATTAAAGGGTGGGAAAAGATGCACAACTGATTGTAATTGGTTTTCAGTAAGGCAAATATAGGGGTTCTGAAGTCTAAATCATATAATACCCAAAATAGATCTCCAAACCTTTTTTAAATCCATTCTAGCATATATGAATCAATTATTGAATTTAAGCTTCCAGCGCGATTTTGGCTCAAATCCTGTTAATAACCTCTCCTTAGTATAAAATCTAGGCTTCAGAAGCTAAAAAGAATTCAATCTATTTTAACTGTTCTAGCCTATTTTTAATCCCAAATAATATATCAAAAAAAAATTTACTATTCTATTTGCCTCAGGAGGGGCCATTTAAAATCAAGAAACAAAGTGATGCAATTTGAGTTAGGCCTGACATTGCAAACCCAATATGAATAATAACTTTTATGCTATTCTGCTTATCTCCAAAGGATCCATTGAAAATCAAGAAACAAAGTAACGTGATTTGAGCTGGATCTGATCATGTAAGCCTAAAATGCATATCATATTTCATGATATCCTAAAAATAATTCTAAAGTTAATTCATTATCAGCTAGCAATACTAAAATTTACACCTATGCCCGTTCATAGGTGTAAATTTTTGAACAAGTACAAGAAAGTCTAAAAGCTCTAGATCAAGTTCTAGTATACTAATAATTTCTCAATTTTCAGTAACTATTCTTAAGCCATTTCCTTTACATAAAGTTAGGGTCGCTAATTTTCACCTTAGGTGTAAAAAAAATTGGGTTAGATGTAATTTTTTTGTATGTCTTAGTACTAAGTGTAAAAAAAATCAGAATGCAAAGCTGAAAGAAGGGACCTAGCATAATTGAGCGATAAAACACTTAGGGTTAGGTGTAAATTTTTCATAGGTCTTAGTATTAGGTGTAAAATTTTCAACACTAATTTTCCTTTCAATAAGTACCTATAGCTAGTGATGTACATTTCCTATATTCTAAGCATTTGCTGTTCCAGCTATATGTCCCAACTATATGTCCCAACTATGTTCTATATATGTCCCAAATGTCCAATCTGTCCTATCATTTTCCAATTAGTGTCCCATTTGTGTACTAACTATGTCCCATGATAACACTGCCCATAGTTCTATCCTGAAGCCTATTAATATACTGGGTCACATAATAACCACTAACATGTTTTCTACAAAGGCCAAGCTTAGAGCTAGTCGGCTTACCATAAACTGGAGTTGACTATTAAATAATTTATTTTAAACAAAAGTTTTTGTACTATTAATACAAATAACTGAAAGTATATATATATATCTAAAATGATTCCACAATATTCTCGATGTGAAAAGGATGACTTTAAAAAGTCTCGTGATAGGACAAATCATCTTAATAGGAAGTTTAAGTATAAGCAATTAAATCCTATTCATTGATCAACACATGTTCCACCTCCTAGATCCTAGTCACCTACTCCAATAGTTCATATTCGAGGAAAGGATCGAAAAAAGGTGAAGCCAAAAGTGGTTAACTCTAGTATGGTTAAGTGACAAGACGCTCAGATAGTTAATCCAACTCCTGATCCTGAAGTAAGACTAGACCCAGCAACCCAAGCTTTTAGAGAAGGGTTAACCACCACCTCGCAGGTCAAAGACCAAGAGAATGACACTCAGGAGTATGTTTTAGGGAAACATTTTCGATCAATTTATCATGAAAAAGAGGAAATTAAGGCTACAGGGGCATACGAAGTAAAAGAAGTAATAGTTGAGCCTTCCCATAATGAGATAAAATTTTTAGAAAGAAAGTGTGATTCAGCTAGAGTATACCCTTCTCAAAAACATCTAACAACATGGGAAGGGATTGTCCCATCAAACAAAAACCCTGCATATGCTTTTAATAAGTAACAAGATAGTGAGATAGAATATACAGATGCCTTATACATGTCCCAATTAATTGCATCAGCACGTAAGCAAATTACAGACGTTCTTAAAGAAGAGCTCAATAGGAAGAATCAAATAAAATCTGCAATAGTCGTATATGCAACATATATGAAATACAAATATCTTGGAAGTAGTGATATAACAAATATAAAAAACTATGAAAAGACCTATTACCATCCATATCATAGAGAAGATCAGCATATACTTCTTTCAAAGAATGATATAGATGAACATATATCAAAATCCGCTGGGGAAATCGATGAAAAGATTGAAAAATACTTGAAGGAAGAGTTTGGTAAAATCCTTCTCCAGCTAGAAATGATACTAATAGAATCTTATACTTATCGTCGAGCTACTGAAGGATCCTATGAGCCTATACCTATAAGGCTTGCCAATAAAAAGTGCACTATCAATCCAAATAATCAAGGTCTCATTGATACAGAAACAAATGCATTATCTGAAAAATGTATCTAACATGCATTAGGTTGCTATTTTGCAGATTAGGATGGAATTACAGATCATCTAAGAAGACGTATATTTAGGGTAAAAAGTCTTAGAAAATACTTAGATATCATAAAGCTAGATAGAATTCCTATGCCCATTCCAATTTGTTCGTGTATATTTAATAAGATAGAGGAGATGAATCCAGATATCTCTATCAATGTTTGGGAGTGGAATGAAGAAACAGCTACTTCAAAGGCAGTAATTGCTAGTAAGAATTACAAAAGATCACATATAGTCGATCTCTTAGCCCTTACAGATATTATCAAATCAGAGGATACAGTCAAGATTAGTATATAGAGATATTGTACATAAAGAAAAGAAGCAATTTTGCAGACGTTGTATACATAGTTTTTTCTCAGAAAATCTTTAGACCATCATCGAAAATATTGTTTCAGGTTAGGAGAGGCGACCCAAAGAGTTAATCTACCAGTGAAAGGGATCAATGATTTTGAGCAGTTCAAGAACTATGGCTGAATGATTAATGCCTCATGTGTAATTATAGCTGACTTCGAGGCAGATAATAAGAAGTAGGACTATTCAGGAGGGATAATAAAACCAAAACCATTTCCAGTATATGGTGGAAACATGCACAAGCTTGCAGAGCAGAAGACCAACAGTTTCTGCTATCTAGTTCACTGGATCGATACTGGAGATGTATGGGGTCCATTTCTATACAGGAGAGAAAATGACACACAGAAATTCGTTCAAAGAATCGATCAGGAGCTGGTCAAAATTAATAAGATCTTAGTTATTAAGCATGAGCGAATTGAGACTGAAGAAGACAAGAAAAAATTTGCTAATACTATTAGCTGTTGGATTTGCAAAGATAAGTTCAATATTGATACAGATGAAATTGAGTGCTTAGAAGTTAAAATAACTTCATTTAAAGAAAAGCAAAAAAGCTTTAAAAAAGAGGCAACAGAATATAATAGTATTCAAATAACTATTGATAAGGCAACTAAAGCTATTGCTAGTGAAAAAGCTAAGGCCAATAAGGTTTGGGATCACTGCTATATCACAGGTAAGTTCTGAGGGGCATCTCATAATACCTGTAATCTTAAGCTTCAAATCGAGTCATGAAAGATCCCTATCCCAGTACAGTCGGACCTCTATATACCGATATTCTATATACTGATATACTATTAAAAACTTTATATACCGATAAAATTTTATTTACTCACTTTACTTGAGCATATATAAATATCGGTATAATTTAATATAACGATATTTTTAAAAAAAATTTTGATATATTCTGACATATCGTTATATAGAGGTTTGACTATAGTCTTTCACAACTTCTGAGGCTATGACTCTCATCTAGTCTGTGAATCTTTTGGACAATCTGTCAATGCACATCAAATCAATGTCATAGCTAAAACATTTGAGCTCTATAAGTCTATTAAGGTAGGTCAGCACAAATATATAGATAGCATGCAATTCATAAATACTAGTCTGGCTAAACTTACAAAAAATTTGGGTAATAACCATCCAATAACAAGCCAACACTTTAAGAATCAAGACTATTCAGATGGAAAAATTTTATTAATATGTCACAAAGAGATTTATCCTTATGAGTATATCGATTCTCATGATAGGTTTAAGGAAACAGAGCTTCCACCAATTCACGAATTTCATGGTGTTCTAAGTGGTAAGATCTCACAAGATAACTATTACCATGCCCAAAAAAGTATAGAATGCATTTGGATGTAAAAATCTAGGCAAATATCATGATCTCTACCTTAAGACCAATGTACTTAGCCTTGCTGATGTCTGGACTAAATTCTGGGAGACATCTGAGATATTATGAGCTTGATCCCAGTCATTATATCTCTGCCTCATCATTGTCCTGAGGTGCTATGCTTAAAAGAACTGGGGTTAAGATCGAGCTATTTACAGATATGTCAATGCATGACTTCATCGAAAAGGCCAAGAGAGGTGATATATTTAAGGCTTGTAAGTGATATTTCAAGGCCAATAATCCCAAGATGGGTAAGGCATTCAACCCATCCAAACCCACATTATGGATCTCATATGTCAATGCATACAATCTTTATAGCTAGACAATGAGCCAGTTCTTACCTATTGGAAATTATCAATGGGAAGCTAGCCAGAAATACTTACTTAAAAACCCTGCTATGCAAAAGAAATATCTTGAAAAGATTTTTAGAACTAAGGCAAATGCCTTACGCAGATATTTTCTAAACATTAAGTTTTATTTCCCTCTAAAGACCTATGATTATTTAAGGGACTTGCTACCAGCTGTAGAAAATGTTGCTATAGGAAAAAATATGCTATGCCTATATAATGCTGAGCTAGTAGAGAAGTTAGATGGTAGACACTTCTTAGCAACAAAAAAATTAGTCCTACATCTTGGCCCACAAAAGGATATGTAATCCATTATCAAGAGCTTCAATACTATGTGAAGTTGGGAATAGTTGTAGAATTTCCCTCTAAAGACCTATGATTATTTAAGGGACTTGCTACCAGCTGTAGAAAATGTTGCTGTAGGAAAAAATATGCTATGCCTATATAATGCTAAGCTAGTAGAGAAGTTAGATGGTAGACACTTCTTAGCAACAAAAAAATTAGTCCTACATCTTGGCCCACAAAAGGAT